ATAATAATAATAATAATAATAATAATAATAATAATAATAATAATAATGGAAAATAGGTATTTTAATAGGTAATTTCAAGTTTTTTTCTTTAAATTCACCAATTTCAGTTATCAGCTGCTCCTGCTTCAAATGTCCTACAAAATGGCATAGGTTTTTCCCATCAATTTTGTGAAATTTTTTCTTAGCAGATTTCCCAGGGGAAGAAAGGGCCAGAAACACTGTACTCAAGTGAACATCTGTGATGTACAATAAATATAGCAACATGTAGACAGACCTATCCAAAGTAAAAATATTTAAATCAGCCTATGCAGTATATAATATTTTCAGTTTTATTTAAATATAAGAAGACATTTGAATTATCTTTTCTTCTTTTAGCAAATTAGAACATGAAAGACACCAAAATCAAAACTCATATTAATCACATGTTGTTAAGACACTATCTTTTTGAAATGTAAATGTTTGTTTAAATATATGCCTACACTGAACAAAAGATGTGACTCTTCTTTTTGAATCCGATGAGACTAGACATTTTTTATTTCATCTACTATTACAAACTGCTGTTTGTCTGCCTTACCAATTTGGGGCTAATCATGGAGAGGTTAGCTGTGTCTCAAGCTGCAATTTGGTCCACAGATGGCTGTTGTTGTCCTAGCTATGACCTCACGAGGAGCTTTTTAATTGCAATGAAATATGGTTGGCTTACTGGCATGTGTTAGAGATGATGTAGTCTTTGAACAAGATCCAGAAACTCTTGGTGGTTCAAAATAAATGTATGTTTTTAATGGGTTTTAGTAGCTATTATCACATTATATACAGGCTTTCATTAATGTTTGAGCCACATTTGTAGTGTTGATATTAAACTATAAGGTTCTAATTGCATGAAGCCAAGGTATCTGAATATCACACCCTTTTCTTAAATATGTGCCTGAATTTAGGATCTTCATCAACTCCCACCCCTATCCATCTACAATCCCTTTTCAAAGTCCTGTAATTTAAAAAGGTGGTTAGCATTTACAAGGAAGGCCTTCTAAATTATGACAGTCAGGTTAGGTGATAGCCTACCTGTTGTGCTTTTTGTGGCATTAGACAACCCTTTTAAAACTTTTGTTTAATTTTTTTGCACACAATGCAATGTCAGGTTTAACTAAGTATTATGTGCAGTAGCAAGAATATAAAACATCAAGCTTCTCTCCTGTTTCTCCCTTGTATTTGAAAAGAGGGAAAAAATACAACCAATAATTTTCAGCGCATTCCTGAATTGTGTAACTTCATTTTAATGCCATTGTAAATTAATTTCAATCCTTATATTCTTTTTCTAGTTTATTTAGTGCAAGATGTTCTTAAAAGAGAGAGAGATAATACCTGGTTAGCATGTTTTCTGGCACACAACAGAAATATTCTTTAGTCAAAATAAGTACTATAGATAGTTCTTGACTTACAGCTATAACTGGGATCAGAATTTCCATCACTAAGTGATACAATAGTTAGGCTATCTCGTAACTGCACCGCTTAGTGATGGCAGTTCCAGTAATCCCAGTTGCAACTGTTAGTCTAGGAGAGTGCTATCATTAGATGAGGACTTCACATTTATGTCCTGCTGTGCTTGCTTTTGATCAATTCTCCCAACCCACTAATCTCCCCTGATCTGTGCCTTTTTGCTTGCCCTGCATTCTGCTGCTTACCCTTGCCAGCTGTGCTGCCAGAGCTGATTTTCACTGTGTTCTTCCTCCTGCAGCTGGACTGGAATCCAGTTGATGAAAAAGGAATGCACAAGGTGAACAAGGTAGGACACGCAGAGTCTCATCTGTCAAAGGGATTTGCCAGGCCTGGCCAGGGAGGAGGCAGGGACAGAGAGGCATAGCATTCGCCATTGCTGAGCAAGGCTGGAGAGGAATGCAGGCTTTGGGCTGGTGCAACACATACTATGCAGTTCATGTTGGAAATGCTTATGGAAAACTGGCCTATGGACTTAGTGAAGGGTGAAGGTGAGCTCAACACCAACAGACTCTACCTGCAGGCCCTCTGCTCAGTTTCATTCCATCTTTACTCCTGCAAAGCCGCATAAACCATCATTAATTTCCAGTATGCTAAAGCCTGAGACTGATTCTGCTGGGGCATGTCCCTCCGTTCTGCCACTACCCCAAATAGTGGTTGTCACACAGCTTTCACCTTTGTCCAAGGAGCAGATGCCAGCTCTGCTTTCCACCCAGTAAAAGTGAGTGCCACATCTCACTGTTCCAGTCTCCTTCATAGCCAAGCCTGGCATGCTCCCTCTAGCAGACAAGGCTCTGCGGCATTTACTGCACGCATGGTAGGCTAAATCCTTGCTTAGCACATAGATCTGGGTCACCACCAGGGGAATGAAGTTCACCTGGGGGCAGTGGCGGATTAAGGCTCACTGGTGCCCTAAGCACTGACAAATCTTGGTGCCCCCCTCCTTTGTACATACTGTACAAACAAAGCCAAGCTTAGGCGACATAAAAGTTTTTGTGGTGCCCCCTTTAGTCCTGGAGCCCTGAGCACGTGCTTAGTCTCCTTAATGGTTAATACACCACTGCTTGGGGGAAGTGTTGTTGGTACGGGGGCATGTAGTGGAGGGCAGGGCACCCAAAAAGCAGAGATGAAATGGAAGATAGGTGGGTAGACAAGTTGAAGCACCCCCGAGATTATAAATGTGGGCAGACTGCCAAGCAACTGAACTTTGATCACATGACTGTGGAAACACTGCAAGACTCGTAACTTTGGGGGTTGGTTTTAAGTCCCAATATTTAGTGCCTTGAACTCTGAACACTGACTGAACAAATGGTGGTAAGTCAAGAACTACCTATGCAGCAGTTTATCCTTTCTCCCAAGTACATAAATAAACTATCTGGGGTAAAATGTTGTTTGACCATTGTAAAGCAATAGACGAGTAAAAAAGTTTGAAATTTATGTTAGTTATAAACAAGACAAATGTTTGCATTCAACAGGAAGAAATTTTTTTTCACTTCCAGCAATTGTTTCCCTTTGATAGCATATTGGCATATTTTGTGGCTTGTATAGAAGAAATACAAAAGAGAGTTCAGCTTGTTTCCATTTATAGTTGAGTAACAAAGAGAGTTTGATCATGTTCTTTTTTTCTAATGTTCATAATATTTTTATCACTATGTTTATTGTGGTTGGATCTAATTTGTTATTCAAGGGAAGGACATTAGTAATTTTTTTTAATACGCTGCTTTAATTTTTCTTAGTTGGGGCAACACTTTTTACAGTCATGTGTTTTTAAGATTCTGTGGGAATGACCAGATTTTGTCATCAGTGCACAATCTGTTGCATTAACATTAGTTACTGAACAACTGGTAGATATGAACAGGTGCTGTAAGGACCATCCATCCACAAAGCATGTACTAATGATAAGCTAATTTATTCGTTACTCTTGAATAATGAAGGTATACTCTACAGACTATTATTTCTTACAATATCCATTTAAATTTCTTTACTAAATTTTTGTGTTTAAATTTAAAGTGTTAATCAAAAAATGTCAGACTTAATCTTGACCATATAAGAAACAAGAAGATTCAAATAACATATACAGGAAATAAAATTATAGTAAATAAGTAACTGAAAAAAGCATATTCCTAATTATGGAGAAGTGAGAATATTTTAGAATGTTTATACTTTTATTATTTAAACTTTTGAAATAAAATACTACATTTTATGAAGTCATATCAAATTTTGTTATATAAAATGAAACATTTAGTTATTTTAAATGAAAATTCTTTAGATTATTTTCAGTATATATTCCCATTAATCAATAGCACATGCACAATTTTTGTTATTTCCTGTACATTCATGGTTATTTCCTTCATTACAGAGATATGAAGTCTTAGGGGAAAAAATCCAGGGAAAAGTGCATTTTTCTATGTATGTTTCTGTATGTTTTTGGATTTTTGAATGTTCCCCCGCCAAAAAAAGTAGGAAAATTCTTATGCATATTCCGTAACAATTTAATTTTAAATCAACACAAAAAATTTAAGATATGTAAAAAAGTTTATGAAAATACACATATGAAATGAAGATGTAAATTAGCATGCAATAATGTACAATAGTATCATCAATGCTTCTGTTTTTATAACTCAGTAAAACTGGCAAAATGATTAAAAATATAGAACAGAATATCTGTAACTCAGGGGTGAACTGTGTGGTCCTTGATGCTCTCTGAGCTTGATTGTTTTGGTAATAAAAAGATGTTTCATTACCAAACTAAGTAACATCTTCAGTGCTAGGAGGGAGTTTTGCTCTCACTTTAAATACTAGTGGCCTGCCCTGCCAGAAGTGTGGGGAGTGGTTTTGGTGGTTCATTGGTTAGTCTGTTATTTCCTGTCAGGTGATTAGTCTGTTATTTCCTGTTAGACAAACTCTGAGAAAATAAATCATGGGAAATACAATACACAATGAAGATAAGACATTTTATGATATTAAAAACTGGGTACTAGAGGGGATTAAAATTCTAGGCAGAGGAAGAAAAATACAAGTCTACTTTTTTTTGTGTTAATTAACTGGGACCAATAGAATAATGAAAAACATTTTGACATTGAAAATACTAAAATAAACTTTTAGAAATATTGTTGGTCACGCAGTATTCTACCTTGAATAGATTTAAATCTCCAGAGCCAAATGCATTACATTCTGGGATATGAAGAAATTTGTCCCTAACTTCAAAAGGGAGGGGAGAGGAAATCAAGGAAAGCATATACCAAGCACAAGGAGACCTTGACATAACTGTATATTAACAAATGATTTCTAAATTTCTGCTGACAGATTTTTATATACTTCCTTGGAGAAAACTCCTTCTGCCTTTAGATATTAATCTCTTTCTCTGCTGTTACTTGGCTACCAACTAAAAATAACATTCTTGCACTGTCCATTAATTATGAATTTTTTTAATACAAAAAGCATGAAGATACTTTTGTTTGTGCTTTTTAAGTTTTGCTTGTGCTTCTTAAGTTTTCAAGTCCCTGAACTCATATATATTTAACTTTATAGGGTGTTGGAGCACTTCAGACTTACTACTAAAAGAATTTGAACAGCATGATGGAGGAGCAAATGTTTTTGCGTGTATTTCCTGTAAAGCAAATAGGAGTTATTTGTTGAGATGGGCAGCTACAGCAAACAATGCTAGCATCTCATAGTGAACATGTAGTCGCAGTGGTGATTCTTCTAATACATTGTTTTTTGTTTTCTTTTAGTTTTTTCTCCAGCATCTTGATTTTGGTGGTATTCTCCATCTGGGATTTGTTTCAATTTAATTTGTTAGATCCAATTTGAGGAAGGATTCTGAGAGATCAACTGAATGCCTAATCTTGTTGCTTGCTCAGTTATGGGATGGAAGCCGGCTAAAGATAGCCTAATAGCTTAATTCCAGAGCTCTTCTCTTCTCTAATAAAAAAGAAAAATCTATTCCTGGTTATTAAGTATTTCCTTACTTTTGCAGTATGTAAAAGGGAGAAATTAGCTATTTAATTGATATTATTTCAATTTAGCCAGAAAACGTTTAGCTGAAGCTGATATAGTTAGTCCTTGATTAACAATTGAGCCAAAATTTTCATTCCTAAGGGAGACAGTTGTTAAGTGAATTTTGTTCAATTTTGCAAGCTTTCTTGCCACAATTGTTAAATGAACCACTGCAGTTGTTAAGTTAGTAAGAGAGTTGCTAGATGAATCTGGCTTCCCTGCTGACTTGGCTTATCAGAAGTTGCAAAAGATGATCACATGACCAAGCGCAGTGCAATAGTCATAAATACGAGTCAATTGCCAAGCACCTGAATTTTATCAAGTGACTATGGGGGTGCTACAATGGTCATAAGTTTTTTCACTGCTGTTGTAACTTTGAAAGGCAGATCATAGCTTCAAAATAAACATTGCCAATCCTGAACCTAGGTTTATTACTCTAAGAGTTTGAAAACTTATTACTCAAACTGTGCATATGTCTCTACATAATTCATACATCTTCCAATTTGAATGTTTATCCATGTGTTTTTCTTGGTAAAATACAGGAGTGGTTTACGATTTCCTTCCCCCATATAGTATGAAATGATGTCTTTGCTATTGTAATTAAAAGGATCATGCCTCCATTGGCTAGCATTTAATATGTGCATGGAGAAGAGCTGATGGTTTTTAGGAATACTAATGGTATACATGCCATGATTAAAGAGTTTGGAATGTCTAGTTGTTGATGTTGCCATGCAGGTAAAAAAATCCATGAAGCTGCAAATGCAGAATCACAGTGGGAACAAGGAGTGTATACGAAAAATAAACATGAGAAAGTTCCAACATTGTGAAAGATGAACAGAATCAACTTCACATTGACAACAGGCATGAGTAAATTATTTGGACTAGAAATTTGCCACTTTCATTTAGAAGATCATATTGTTTCAGAACATGAAAACTAAGAAAGAAATGGCATTGCTTATTTAGTCAGAAAGAATATAGTAAAGAAAACCCTGGAACACAATAAAACCAGTGACAAAAATATAAATTAGATTTCATAGGAAAAGACTAATGAAGAAGAGCAGGTTGATAAATTTGAAATTGGCAGAACATGGAAGCAAGATGTTCTCATTGTGGTTGAAAGCTAGAATTCCAAAGTTGAAAATTGTAATGAGGGAAATGCAATTAAACATAACCAAGAAACAAAAATGAAGGAAAATATATTATCCATTTTTGCCAGTGATTACTAGCACATTCTTCAAACAACCAAAACAGTTCTTCAAAAATAGCAATCAAACCAACTGTTAGTAGTACAGAGTGGTACAAGAGCTCAGTTATAACAACAAAGATGTGATCAGATCAATAATTGCTCATATGCAAATTTCAAGTAAAGCTAAAGCTGAGGAATAAAGCCAGCCAGTTTTCACAATATGATCTTGAGCACATGCCGATCATTTTCAACATCAGGAATCAATTTGAAGTCCTGAGCTTCATTGATAGGAAACCAGAGAAACTGTGGAATAAACAAAGATGTTGTAAAGATGAATATAAAATAGAATGTCAGAGACCATGAAATAGATAAAGTAACCTGGATATCAGAACAGACAATGGAAATTGCGAAGAAAGAAAAAAATCAGAAGGAAATTTAAAAGAATTTCAAAAAGTTTATAAGAAACAGGAAGCAGTATTATATCCACAAAGACACTAAAGATAGAAAAATAATGGAAAAATAAGGAAAATCTGAGTTCTCTGAATTCAGAAGGAATTTTAAACCTTGAATTGGTAAATTAAAGAATGTGCTAAAATACAATAGAGGTATCAATATCCAAAATACCATAGAACATATTCCTTTCTTATTTATACTAGAAGATGAATTTTAAAGTTAGAGGAATTTGTGGAATATTTGCAAATATAGGTCAAGTAACTGAAAAAGAATCAGTAAAGGCTCTACCCAAACTGTGCCAGTAAATCTGGAGAACAACACAGTGGATGAATGTCTGTGGAGATTCTCAGTCATCTAGGTCATAGTTGTCAACCCAGTAGACAGCACAGTGGGTTATATATTTGAAATATTACTTTACAAATCAATACCAAAGAGAGTCAAGAGAGTATGCAAGCAATTGCACAAATTTCACATGTTAGGAATTAATGCTATGCCCTAATATGCCTAATAATGCCCTAACCCTAACTCAACACAGATTAGAGTGCTACACTAGAGATTTCAGATGCTCAAGCTAGATTTAGAAAAGGCCAAGGAACAAGATATATTTACCAAAAGATGTACCCTTGGTAATTAAGAAAGCCAACAACAGAAATAAGTCAGTTTGGATTTCATAGATTGCACAGTAAAAGCCTTTGATTGTGTTGACCATATTAAGCTGAGCAGGTGGCAACCAATGGCTAGGAAGGCCTTTGCACACCTTCAGTTAATGTGCCATTTGCACCCATATTTAGATCGAGAGTCTCTGTTCACAATAACTCATGCCCTTGTAACCTCTCATTTAGAACACTGTAAGAGGCTCCACAGGGGGCTGACCCTGAAGATCATTTGGAAACTTTTAACTGGTGCATAATGTGGCTGTACTTTCTGCACCAGTTGAAGTAAATGGTGCCAAGTACACAACACACATAACACCACTTCTGCATGATTCAAGGTGCAGGTGGCTACCTTTAAAGTCCTACATGGCTTTGGATCAGGGTACCCGAAGAGTCAACTTTGTCCAAGAGTCACCCATCCCACCAGATCTAGGAGAATGGGCATGCTGCAGATCCTGTCAGCCAAAAAGTGTCAGCTGACAGGGACTAGAAGTTGGGCTTTTTCCACAGATCTGCCCTTCGAAGATTACAATGGCCCCAACCCAGTTTGCCTTTTGTAAAGCCTTAAAAATCTTTATATTCCCATGTTTGGTGTGATGAATGTGTCAAAGGCTCCATTTCCTGGTTGTATTGCTAACTGGCCAAGAATCTTGTTTTCACTGTTTTACAATGTTTTTAGTATTTTTGATTGTAATATATTTTTAAATTGTAAGTTGTGCCAAGCCATTGATTAAAATGAGCAGCTATAGAGGTTGAATGAATGAATTGCATGAATGTCTATAAGCCTATAAACAACATAGATTTAACATTTCTGCAAGGCCCTGTAGACTACATTTTTCCATAAGAGAATCCAAATACTTTCATCAATAACAAAAAGTAAGCTATGTTTCTTCACAATCAATATATAACTATTTTTATGTTTTATTTTTGATGTTATTATACATGTTGTCCATTGTACATCACTGGAAGTTCATCCTGATTCTAGTGGTATATAAATTAAACCCCTCAGCTACTCATAGTTGCCTTGAATCACAAGGTAGGCTGCAAATATATTTTATAAATAAAATGAACCAAATCAGCAATGTGGACTGAAAAGAATACAGCAATTTATTTTTATGCTACCAAATAGTGCAAATGATTGAACTATGTGCTCTCCTTCATGGACCAAAGTATTATTTTTAAAATAATTTACATTATTATTTATTTCATAGCAAATTTTATAGAAAAATTGCAAGGTAAAAAAGGAAGAAATTTGTGAAAAAATGTTTTATTTTTGTAATTTTGTAATTTTTTGCATATTTTTTCCTTTTTTCTATTTTCTAATCTTTCTATTACATTTGTTAAGAAACAAATAAAACTAATTAAAATTAGGCAGAGATCTATTGATTAGCCCATTATTTCAAATCCAATTGTGGCATAGAATGCATTTTTATCAACTGTAATGTAATCCACAACAAGCTCTATGAGTTAGCCATTATACTGTTATTTGCACACCACTGTCAGAAGGGCAAGTCAGGGGACTTCATCCTTGTTGGCAGACTGAAGACCATGATCATCCGTGGCTTCAATCCGTGCTCAGAGGGCCCCGATTGACTGTATCTGGGGCCGGAGCCACTCTGTAGGGGTGGTGAAGAAAGGGGAGACCACTAGCTGGGTCGAGGGGAGACACATCTCCCCTCCTTGGCTTGGCAAACACTCCCCTCCAAAGACGGCTGTAGTGGTGGTCTAAACAGGCCACACTGAAAAGGAAGAGCTAGCCAGGATAAGATTGTGCCAGGAGCGGTGAAGAAGAGGACAGTTTGAATAACTGGGCTAATCCGGTGCAACATCCTGAAATTAAATGTTAAAGAATTTCTAAGAGAATTAATTAAAGTGGTAGACAAAGACAGTGGAGGGGAAAAAATTGACAGTTGAAAGTGGCTTTGAATACTGAAAGAAAAGCCTGAAGAAGATATTTTTTAAAATTGGAGAATATACAGTACTATCTTGACACTAAATAGGCAACTCTAAAGCTGAACTTGAACATGTCAAAGGAAAAAAAATATTAACTGATATATGGACTTATTGGAACTTTGGATTTAGAAGCCATAAATAGAGAAAAAAATGGAGAAAAAGGGTGGAAATTTGACATAACAGAAAGTGCCATCTAGTGGCAAAAAAATACTTGTGAATTTCTATAACCTGGATCTTTCAAAGACTTGCGGACAAAGCTGACTGAGGAACTCTGGGAGTTGAAGTCCACAAGTCTTAAAATTGCCAAGGTTGGAGACCCCTGATCTAAGGAGTATTTTGTTCCAATAGAGGTCAGTTAGATCCCAATGGAAAACTGAGTGCATCAACATCACCCTATGAATATTTTCCTGAATCTGGAATGGGAGATGAAACTGCCACTAATTCTGGCTATAATACACCAGCTTAGTTTTGGTTTTCATTTAAAACTCTTGTGAAAGCGGGCTATTTTACATGGAACTTTAAACAATTAATTATTTTTATGTTCAACATGCCTGAAAGGAAAGCTAAAATAAGTATTGCTTTCAAGTAGATTCTGGGTGTAATTTGAACATATGCTGGCTGAGGCACTGTTTAAACAGACAAATATTTTAAGAGTTTATTCATATATGAATGTAAAATGACCACTGGGGGGAAAGATCAAGTGATTCAATGACTACTGAGTCCATTTCATAAATAAATACTTTAAAAAATGACTGAATTTCTACAATTGCCATCTTCCCATAATCTAAAGTGTACTTCGTGCTCACTAAAGAAAATCCAAGGTTTTATTGCTATGAAAATACAACTATTTTATAAAGCTATTCCATTCTTTTGCCTATAAAAATTTATTGAAACTATCTGGCTTGTGAAGAACATTTTAGATATTAATTTGTCTGATTGATTGAATATATTTCTACTACAGTTTATCCTCAATTTATGACAATTGAGCCCCAAATTTATCTTGTTAAGTGAGTTTTGCCCCATTTTACGACTTTTCTTGCCCCAGTTGTTAAGTGAATCACTGCAGTTGTTACATTAGTAACATAATTGTTAAGTGACTCTGGTTTCCCCATTGACTTTATTTGTCAAAATGTCATAAAAGGGGATTATGTGACTCTGGAACACTGCAACTGTCATAAATATGAGTCAGTTGTCAAGCAACCGAGGGTAAATCACATGACCATGGAGATTCTAAAGTCTAATCTTTTTGTTTTGTTTTACAAACTAGGAAGATGAAAATTATTTATTGCTTTTCTCTAAAGCAAGGATGGAAAATCTATGGCCAACTACAGTTAGCTTTAATCTTCTCTTTCTTCTGACCATCGATTTTATGACTGAGGTCAGACTGTAATTCATTGTTAAATGAATGGAAGGCAACAAGTTTTCCACACTTTTTGCAAATACCATTTTGTTTTAAAGTTGTCAACAGTATAACAGGAAATATAACATTCTCTTCAAAGATGTTTCAGGAATATTGTGTTTTTATATTTTATACAACATACAATTGTCATTTTGAATCACATCAACATGTTAGAATATTTGACAAATTTAGAAAAAAATAGAAAAAATGATGGTTAAATTATTTTACAGATCAAGTTGTATGAACAAGATGACAGTGGATCGGAAATGTGTCTATATTCTGATCACTGCTTTTAACATTTTGTTTAAAAATATGGTGGAAAGTCTGCCTGTTCACTTCTTATGGTTCTGCAATGAATAGGTTTTTGTTGAGAACTTCACTATGGCCTGGAGTAAGTGTTTTCCTTCTTCTATAACATTAAGGTTAGTCCATTTAAATGTGGGATCGAATTTAACATATGTCTCAAATTATGAAATTGCATAAAATCAGGGGTGGGATTCTAGCTGATCGGACTGATTCTATAGAACCGGTTGTTATGATTCTGCCCAGTTCGGAGAACCGGAAAATTGCAACACTGGCTAGCCCCTCCCCACCCTTCCCCACCCACTCACTCCTTACCTGGCATGCGCACCA